CTCTCCCCTTCTCCCTCTGTGTGTGTGCTCTTTTTCTAGTTCTCACTCTCTCTCAAATAAATAAAATCTTTAAAAATAAATAAGTAAAATGTTATGGCCTTTGTATAGAAATGACCATCAGCTCTCAATGGACACCTGCTCAGCCACAAATGGCCAGATGTGCTCTCTCCAAGGATGGACGACACCTTAGGGCCATTCATGGAACCATCCACTATCAGAGCTGGAAGGGACCCCAGGGATCACCTAGAGCAATGAGCTCATCCAACCAGTACTTTTTTGTTTGTTTTAAGGTTTATTTATTTGAGGGGAGGGGGCAGGCGAAAAGAGAGAATCCCAAGCAAACTCCATGCCGAGCGCAGAGCCTGACGCGGGGCTCAATCTCACGACCCTGAGATCACGACCAGAGCCCAAACCAAGAGTCAGATGCTTAACCGACTGTGCCACCCAGGTGCCCCCCAACCAGTACTTTTAACATCAGTTCCAAAAATGGATTTCCCAAAACAACAAGGGGGTGGGGGTGAGTAAGAAGCTCTGGCAAGGAAAAGTAAACAGTGTGTCAATGATTGGTTAAATTCTCTTTATCAAAAGAAGGCTCGCTCCCTGAAGTCCTCAGATTGGGGAATAAAACAAAGGTGACCATTCCCAAACTACCTTAAGATTTTCCATGTTGCCAAAATAAACTTCTTAGTAAAGGAGCTTACCTTCACAGACCATCTGCTTTTGGCTCACAGCCTCGGAGCTGTTAGCAGTTTTAGGCACTCCTTCTCTTTTCTTTCCAAGAGTACCTAATGCATTTTGTGCCAACAGGCTACGGTGAACAGGGATTATTTTATAGGAAAGAGGAGACTGTGACTGTTTTGACATGACGGGTGATGGTGATGGGGGGCGAATCTTTTGCATTTGCCTGCTGGGAAAAAGTAACCGTTAATGGGGGAAAACTGATATGGTTTTGTAATAGATATGTGCTAATTAAGTTTATAATGCGCCATTTCATAAAATATCATGTCTTGATATTATGAAATACTATTTTAGGATGGGGTAAATCCATTTTTAAAAGTTTTTTCCTCTTTATATTTACATTGTAATGTATACTACATTATTTCATTTGTGAAACACTGATGTGAAATTTATCCTGGTAAAATACCTATGAGGAACAGGTGCAAATAAGCCACTTACTTAACAGTGACGGGGGAAGGCGGGCGCCGCCCACTCACAGAAGAAGACGGCCATTTATAACACGGTATGTGCGACACCAGGCGCTTCTTGGTAGCAGGCTTTGAGGCCTGTTTGTCCAGCTCTGATTTCTGAGCAGAGCAAGATCATCAGATTAAGAAATGAGCATTTACTTACTGCAGCTGGCTTTTTTTTTTTTAGACAAAAATACCCTGAATATAATACAATTAGAGCTCCTTAAACTCCCCATTTTCTTTTCAAACATGAGAATTAGGTACAAATATATTCTTCTCGACTAACCATTCAGATTACAAAATTCAAGGTCACAGAAATAATTACCGTAAAACATCTTTCACTTCAAAACCTAATTCTATTTCTAAATCCTGATTAAGAGGTTTGCAGTATTTCTCAAAAAAAGTTTTCTTCACAGTTTAGAAACAGTTCAAATAACAGTAACTCCCTGCTACTAAAAATGAACTAATATTCCAGCTTTGAGGGGAAACTATACAACAAATATCAGAGAATTTTAAATAAAGTTACCCTATTTTACTAATTTTATCACAGAATGCTATAAATATTAACAAGTTGCTTATGTTGTGAAACCTAACCTATCATGACCTATACAACTAAATATACAGATTTTAATAGAAAATTTGTCAATAAAGGGCACTTGACAAACCTGTGGAGGGTCGCTCACTTTCACCTGGGAAGATGTTTCCGTGCCCACCTTGGGGGATGCCTCGGGGGACGCTCCCACACTCTCTTTGGGGAGTGCTTTCACACTGGCCTCAGGCGATGCTTCCACCGTGGCCTCGGGTGACAGGCCCACACTAGCCTTGGGAGCCGCTTCCACACTGGCCTCAGATGACG